GACTGAGATGACAGTGTATGACATTCAATGACAGAGTTGAACTCTGGGCCTCCATATGTCTGTGCTCTTGTGAGGACAGAAGCATGTACTTTTATGATGTCTACAGTCTACCTGTGCCAATAGCCTCATGGGCACAGGTCTCATGTCACCCTGCCTACACTGACAAAATGAACCTGAAAATCTGAGCCTCAGTAAATCACCTGCAGTGGAAAAGCGTGGATCCTGGTGGAATGTTGGGGATCACCTAATGCTACAAGTCTGCATGCTGTTTCCTTCAGAACAGTGTCATCGGAGTGGACTGAGGATGGAGCCTCTCAACAGTCCTGGTCATAGGATACCAAATCATATAGCAACTACTTGGAATGAACTTGGTATAAATAGAGGGACCCCTCACCCACAGCCGAAGAGTTGACAGCAGGAGCATGCATGTGCAAATGCATATTTTCTTCCCATTAGCTGTGGCCTTTTGGAAATGAGCAAAGTTGGCTGTGGTTTAACTGTCCTTATTTTATCTTTCAACAGCCAAGCCACACCTTGCACAGCTCCAACCAGCAGGGGCTGGTTTGATTTCAAGCATTTTCTACAAATCAACCACATGTGAAGGAGTAGATAGACAAAAAAAAAAAAAAAAAGCCTGAGAAATAAACACCATCACCACAGCAGCACCCTCCTGCCACCCACACTGTCTCCTGCACCACCACCCTCCACTTCTCTGCACCTCCCAGGCCAGGGCAGCCCAGGTCCAGTTGGGGAAGGAAGGGGCTAAGGAGTTGGAAGCCACAGGACATACTGCCTAGGAAACCCACCAGTAACATCAGCCCCACACAGATTTCCATCATTTGCTAGTTTCCCCTCATTGCCTCCACGCTTTCCACGTGCAGAAACAGTTCCAGTTCCTCTAAGTAGAAGCCCAGGCATTTGTCCTAAGAGGTCTTGAAAAATTTTTGAGAATCAAACAGTAGATCAAAATTAAATATCCTCTTCCTTTATCTGCTATGTCTTATGTTGTTTCCACATGGGAACCTCTACTTGGTGTCCAAAAGCACCTGTTTCTTTGGAACTAACTTGATTGTAAATAAACAAAAACATCCTACCCAATGTTAAATGAGACATTGTTTGAACTCTAATATATTAAAGTAATTGTGTTAAATGCATTCATTAGCAAAAATAGAAAAATAAACAATAACTACTTTTTTCACCAACTCACCAACTTACCAAACACTGTATATTTTGTTTTACATCCATGTATGTAGAAATATACACACACATATTAATGAGTGTCCTACTTGTTAGTGTGTATGCATCTGGTAATGTGTGTTTCTATTATATCTAACTTAGAGCTACCAAGAGTAGATGCTAATTTTTTGAGGACTCCCATGTACCTGATAAGATTTTTTTTAAATTTTATTTTGTTATGTTATGTTAGTCACCATACATTACATCATTAGTTTTTGATGTAGTGTTCCATGATTCATTGTTTGTGCATAACATCCAGTGCTCCATTCAATACATGCCCTCCTTAATACCCATCACCAGACTAACCCATCCCCCCACCTCCTCCCCTCTAAAACCCTCAGTTTGTTTCTCAGAGTCCATAGTCTCTCATGGTTCCTCTCCCCCTCCGATTTCCTCCCCCTCATTTTTCACTTCCTACTATCTTCTATTTTTATTTTAACATGTAATGTATTATTTGTTTCAGAGGTACAGGTCTGTGATTCATCAGTCTTACATAATTCACAGTGCTTACCATAGCACATACCCTCCCCAATGTCTATCACCCAACCACCCCATCTCTCCCACTCCCATCACTCCAAAAACCCTCAGTTTGTTCCCTGAGATTAAGAATTCCTCATATCAGTGAGATCATATGATACTTGTCTTTCTCTGATTGACTTATTTCACTTAGCATAATACCCTTGAGTTCTATCCATGTCATTGCAAATGGCAAGATTTCAGGGTTTTTTTTGATGGCTGCATAATATTCCATTGTCTATATATACCACATCTTCTTTATCCATTCATCTGTTGATGGACATCTTGGCTCTTTCCACAATTTGGCTACTGTGCACATTGCTGCTATAAACTTCAGGGTCCATGTACCCCTTCGGATACCTACATTTGTATCTTTGGGGTAAATACCCAATAGTGCAATTGCTGGGTCATAGGGTAGCTCTATTTTCAACATTTTGAGGAACCTCCACACTGTTTTCCAGAGTGGCTGCACCAGCTTGCATTCCCACCAACAGTGTAAGGGGGTTCCCCTTTCTCCACATCCTCACCAACATCTGTCATTTCCTGACTTGTTAATTTTAGCCATTCTCAGTGGTGTGAGGTGGTATCTCATTGAGGTTTTGATTTGGATTTCCCTGATGCCGAGTGATGTTGAGCACCTTTTCATGTGTCTGTTGGCCATTTGGACGTCTTCTCTGGAAAAATGTCTGTTCATGTCTTCTACCATTTCTTGATTGGATCATTTGTTTTTTGGGTGTTGAGTTTGATAAGTTCTTTATAGATTTTGGATACTAGCCCTTTATCTGATATGTCATTTGCAAATATCTTCTCCCATTCTGTCAGTTGTCTTTTGGTTTTGTGGACTGTTTCCTTTGCTGTGTAAAAGCTTTTTATTTTGATGAGGTCCCAATAATTCCTTTTTGCCCTTGCTTCCCCTGCCCTTGGTGAAGTTTCTAGGAAGAAGTTGCTGTGGCTGAGGGCAAAGAGGTTCCTGCCTGTGTTCTCCTCTAGGATTTTGATGGATTCCTGTCTCACATTCAGGTCTTCCATCCATTTTGAGACTATTTTTGTGTGTGGTGTAAGGAAATGGTCCAGTTTCATTCTTCTGCATGTGGCTGTCCA